AAAAAGGGAGTGAGAGAGAGTTAGAGGGAGAGAAAGAGAGAGAAAGAGAGAGAGAGAAAGAGAGCAGGGCCGTAACCAGGGGGGAGCACAGAGTGGCCCCCCCCCCCCCCCCATAAAAGCTAAAAGTTTAAGGTCTGCTCATCTATCTTCTTTTGCGTCTGGCCATGTAGTGACAGGTCGTCATGCGCCATTGAAAGCCAACACGCAAACTAAGAGCTGAACTTAAAATACAATGGCTTTAGGAATGCGTTGATCTAAACCAATATTATCTTATTGGTATCGTTATAACTTTCTGCCATGAATCGATCTCGTTTTTACTAATATGCATCAGTTGGTATTGATAAGAATGCCTTATTTTTAGTATAAATATATATATGTGTGTGTGTGTGTATATACGTGTGTGCGTGTGCTTGGTATAAATCTGTCCCTGCTGTGCAAGCGGCTCTTCGTCGAATCATAATATATTTATAATAACCATTCAACCACTTTGATCCATTCTCGTTTTTAATTCCTTTTATTGATAATGCGGCCGCCTACCCAATATTATGATCCGAAGGCTTAACATCTTCACATCAGAACTCCCCGGCTCCCCTTTATAACAATATTAGATAGGGGTCTCGATATTATGTATGTATGCTTTTGTATTAATTGATAATGCATAGTAGCTATATCGCGCGTATGGCACTATTTTGCCTTAACGCCGTGCAAGCTAAAAACAACAACAAATAATCAGATGCATTCTGATTGTTTATTGCCCTAGACATAGCTATGAATATTTTTATTGTATGTAATACTTGCCTCAAGGTGCCTTTCGTGATGAAGAATCACCTGTTCCGTATAACAATACGCATGCGCAATGGCTACACTATTAATTGATCAACACCAATATACGAGCAAATATAAGATGCATCACTAGATTTTTATGCTTTGTTTTTGTTGCCCATCGTAACCAATAAAATCACGTGTCCACACGTTTGTCTTGGACGACACGCGTGCGGTCTGGCGATTCTAGAACTGAGAATACTAAAATTCAAAGAAATGTAAATTTGAACCAACCCCCCTTCCCCTAACCCTCCCTCTCAGATGTCGAGAGATGCTGAGTATCACTACAGTACACAGCACACTACGTTTATTTTTCTAATAATTTCAAGCACTATTGAATACGTTTTAGAGTTTAAAATGCTTATTTGATTCTTAAGTCTAGACTTGTTGCTAGCTCGGCTGAGCGAATTTTAGAGTGCCTTCCGGCTCTGTTCTCATCCATGTCAACCGATTTATTGTTTTCGCCTATACGCACGTATTGCTGTACGTCATGCCTATGGCGTTTGACCAGAATGCTGGGGTATTCCTGGAGATTTGGAAGAAAAGACAAAAAATTATTATTATTAACCAGAATTAAATGCAAGAGGAGTAAAAATATGGCGTTAAAACCCCTCAATTAAGTAGTAATCGGTTGTTATGCAGTTGGATGTTGTTGCAGCCTCTGATTATATTCTCTCTGATTGAAAGAAAATTCTAAATTTGCGTTTCTAGAACGTACGATGGAAGAGGTGTTGTCCCCTTAAAGCCCTTTAGCAAGTAGTGTTTGAAGCGACCGTTCGAAATGCCAGATCTTCTCGATATCTATTGATGGGTTGCAAGCATTTCCGAGAGAGTTAAAAGACAAACATGGCGGCCATTATGGTGCCGTTAGCAATGGATGCTAATAAGAGATCTTTTTATATAGTTTATATATATATTCTCATATACAAGAGATCTTTTGTTAAATGGTACCAATGCTCCCCCGAGAGGTCGCGGTGATGTAACGTGCAATCAAAGAATAAAGTACTTCTGACATAGACCCCCTCGATGAGCGTTACGCTCTTGGGGTTAATGTATCGACAAAATATGTTTAAATAAAAGAAAGGAAAAGAAGAAGAAGAAGAAGAAAAATGTACTCTCTCCTCCAAACAGTGCGTTATTGCCAGGCTATAAGCAATATTCGTAGCCCGAAGGACGTTATCGAAGAAGTGAATACCATCAGCGAAAGCCGGGACAAAACAAAATGAAATCTTCCTAAAATTTAAATTTTGTCATTTTTTTCCTGAATATTTTCTGTTCTGTTTTGACATATTTACATATGAATATAATACTAATAACGGTGAACCCAAACTAATTCAGAGCGAATTTTTGGGCAGTTTTATTCTCGCTCGAGCTTCGCAAAACTAGTGCGTCAATTTAACTGTATTTTTCATATAATGTGCTTGAATTATCCTAGAGTCCAACAGTATATTTAATCAAAGATTTTTTAAGTGGCCTATTACGGCCAAAAATCAAATAGTCCTATTTTTAGTTTTTCGCTTTTTTCTCCTCATCCCCTCAAGCACAATTTTTCTAAGATTTTCATAGTCTTATTATCTAGTAGAGTATAGTACTAGTGCAAACTGTGTGCAAATTTGGCAATCGATTCAATGGTAATGTTTCTACAGCGCGATGTTTCATATGCTTCAAATTTTGGATCACGGAATTTTCAAGCGCCGCCCTAGCTTTTTTTTCTGCCCTAGACTTTCTATCCAAATTTACACACTGGCTGCATTAGTACTAGATGATAGGATTCTGAAAATTACAGAAAAATTGTACCTAAGGCGAGCAGAAAAAAAGCCAAAAACTAAAAATAGCAGTTTGATTTTCGGGCGTAATACATATTGGCTAAACACTTAAAAAATCTTGATATAAAATACACTGCTAGAATCTAGACTAAGCACATTATAATATAAAAAAACCAGATCTACCTTTAGAATAAGCCTGAAGCGAGATGACGTTTTACCCCCG